GATGCAGCCAGCCAGGGCTGAGGCCCGCTCTCTCTCTGCAGCCATCTCAGCTTCTTTGCCTCCAAGCCCAGCCCCACAGCCATGATCCTCAACCTGTGGGAGGCGAGACACTTTCCCAACGGCAACCTAAGCCAGCTGGCCGCGGCCGTGACCGGACTGGGTCAGCCAGATCCTGGCCTCTTCACAGTATCCGAGGCTGAGTGCTGAGGCCCCCGGGCCCCGAACGCCTACATTCTCACCAGCTTTGGCCCCGGCCAGGGATGAACAGACGCTGAGCTGGGGCCCTCCACCCATCCCAGGGAGAGCTGCGTGGACAGGTCTCCTCCTGGCTGATGCTGTCCCTTAATGCCGGTCCTTCAGACCCTGCCCACACTCCCGCTCTCCACAGCCTGCCTGGCCAGGCTGGCACTGCCACCTACTCCCACTCTGCCCCTGCCCGCGGGGCCCAGGGACACAGTGCCTGGAGCCAGGCGAGGCCAGGCCCGGCCCATTCGTGTGTGCGCGTGCGCGCGTGATGCTACCTCTCCTCCTGCCCCTGGCCAGGGCCCCGCATGCACGTGGACATGCACGCACACGCTGGGCTCGGGCCGCGCCCGGCCTCCTGCCTGAGCCAGACCTTATGCAAACGTTTCTGTGCCTGCTGGGTAGGGGCACGTCTGAGGGGCCCGCCCACGCCTGCGGGACCAAGGGCACGGCCGGGCGAGCAGGAAAGGCCTCTGGGCTCAGGCACCCAGCCACACGCGGGCACGTGCGTGCGTCCACCCCACCGAGCGCACGTCTCCACCACCTTCACTTCTCACGCCTGTGCACCGGGGTCCCGCCCACGTCCCTCACGCCCCCACCCCCAGTGTTTGTACACATCTGCCTCTCACATGCTGCCCTGCCCCCACCCACCAGGGACATGAGCGGCTCTCCCCACCCCCGACCCCAGGCCTCAGCCGCAGGTGCCCTGTCCGGCGGGGCGTGTGAATATGCAACGGGAGCCCCGTGCTGGGCAATGGCGTGTGCGTGTGCCAGGCGTGCCCATCCCGGGGCTGGACAAGCCCCCCCTCCGGGCCGCCCCTCGAAGCTTGTGTCCTGACTCCGTCTGAAGTGCATTCACGCCCTTGCACTTGGCCTTATGTACACAGCCTTGACCGGCTGCCGGGGCATGTAGGGATTTTAGCAGACGTGAATGTAAATAAATTATATATATATATTGCTAACCCAAGTGCTACCTCTTGGGGGAAGCCCAAGGGCTGACACGGGGCGGTTCTGGTGCCGGATCCACCTAGCTCCTCTGCAAGCGCAGAGGTGGAGCAGATCTCAGACGCGGGCCATCTGGGCGAGGCGGCAGGCGACGGCGGTTACAAGGGCCGCCCCTTTGCCGGAACCATCCTCTGACTGCAGGAAGGTGACGGCACAGCGGGGGGCCAGCGCACGCACTGTGTCTGCCACGAGGCTGGAAAAGCTGGGAAGTGGAAGCTGGGGGTGAGCCCAAGCCAGTGGCTCTGCCAGCCCTGCCTCCTTGCCCCGCCCCGCCGCTTCCATGCTCACTGGGGGTGCAGCTTGTAGAGGGTCCCGTCCACACCCACGGTCACCGCCAGCTCCTCCAGGCCCCTATTCTCACGGATCTTCTCCACCACAGCGGCCACGCCTGCCCCGCAGAGCTGGGCAGCGCGCCGGGACACGGCTTGGCACACCTCTCGGACCACCAGGGCATCGTCCGAAGTCAGGGGCAACCCCAGGTCTTCCAGGATGGCTCGGACCTGCCGCAAGGCCAGGCTGTCGCTGGGAAGCGGGTGGTGAGAAGCAGAGGGGGGAGCCCTGAGTTAGCAGGACCCCACCCCCAGCCCAGCACTCGACGCCCCCCACCCCATATGAGCTCTTTGGGGAGATGGGGAGACAGTTGAAGGCCACAGAGACCTTTCAATCTCGGATAGGAACTTGGTCTTGAAGATGTCCCTGCTCTGCAGGCGCTGGGTCTGCTGGCCCCGGAAGAGCACACCCAGGCTGTTCAGGTGCAACAGGATGTGGCGAACGATCTCCCCCAGGTACATGCCACTGATCAGCTTCTCAAACCTGTGTGACACACGCACCCACACACACGGGACAGGAGACTCCCATTAGCCACCACTGCTGCCCCAGTTGGCTGCCACAAGACCCTGCTGGCAGACCCCCTGGGCCAGATCCCCTGCCTAGCCCACCTCTGCTTGCCGGGGTTGATGGATGCTCTGTCCACACTGGCATCGAAGCAGGTGCTGGGCACACTCAGCCTGCCATCATCCCCAAAGGCGCCCCACTCCATGTTGATGCACATTCGGCCAGAGTCCCCAGGCACGCCTGCCACGTTCTGAAGCTCCTCCATGTAGCAGGCGTTGGTGCCCGTTCCTACAAAGGCCAGGCCGCGTGGGGGGGGGGGGGCAGGGGAGGGCTTTCATTGTCAGGACCAGGCCCCTTTAGGCCCTTGAGTCCTGTACCTCACACCCAGATGAACAGCTGGGGCTCCTTTCCAACCTTTCCATCTGCCCACGCTCAAACTTGTCTCCTGCCCGGTCCTGCACCTCCTGCCCTCCCGGTGTCCTGCCATCATCCCAGACTGCGCTTCCTGGAACACCCCTTAGTGACGCCATCCTCCGGGGCATGTGACCGCTCCTCACTGCCCAGTGAGAAGGTCCTGGAACCAGCCTCCCAGGCCCTTGAGCTCGTAGGGGTTGGCCCCGGAGCTGGGAACCTAGTGAGAAAAAGCACGAGGAGCCCAGAGGGCCACAGACATGCCAGAGAAGCCGTGTTTGAATCGGGCCTTGATGCTGCCCAGAGGAACCATCACCCCGGCGGTGGGCCCACCTGGGGAAAGGCAGCTTCTAACTTCGCAACACTCGGTTGATTCTTGCCAGCCTCACTCAGAACCCACCAACCCACATTTGTATACGTAGATCTGGAAGTGGCTTTGCCCACCACCTGCCCCGGGCCTGTCAATGGGAGGCTGCCATGGGCCCTGTGTTCAAAGAGAACCCAGTCCAGAGTGAGGACCCCAAACCCTAACTTTCTCAGCATGTCTCCCTGGTCCCAAGGGGCCTTTCCTTCCCAAATTTAACCCTGTTCGAGGCTGGCCACCTTTGTCTGGAGTCTGGGTGCCTCTCTAACTACCACCTGCTGTCTGGGCTCAACTCCTCCTTCCTCTGGTGCCCAGCTGACCATGGGGTGGGTGTTCAAAATGGCCTTGAAGTGGGTGAGCGGCCCTCCCAGCTCACTACCCTGCCCCCCGCCCATTCTGTCCCAAGCCCCGAGTGCACACCCTCAGCTGGGCACACAGCACATCTGGCCCTCTCTCGTTCTCACAACCCTGAGACAGGGTTTCTCGCAGCTTGGAGGCAAGCACACAGGAGTGACATGCCCAAGGTCAGACAGACAAATCCAGTTGATTCCGACTTATGGCCACCCCATGTGGGTCGGAGTACCACTGTGCTCCACATGGTTTCTCTGCTGGTTTTTGGTTAAGCTGATCACCAAGCCTATCTTCTGAGTTGCCATGGGTCGACGTGAACCTCCAAGCTCCAGTTAGCAGCTGAAAGAGCATAACTGTTTGCACCATACAGGTAGGAATGCCCATGCATTTCCATCTAAATTGATTTGACCCCCTAAGCCCAGGTTCATTTTAATAATGGGAAAGCTGAGGCTCAGAGAATTTAAGTGACAGCGAGTCCGTGGCTGAGCTGGACAGGAATCCATAGCTCCAGACTGCCAGTCCAGTTAGACTCCCAGGATAGGATGGAAGTGATCCCGCATCCCCAGTGCCACAGGGCGTCCACCCCGAGGACTCAGCATCAGGCAGGAAACTAACTTCAGGCAGTGGGCGCACAAGAGAGCAGGGCCCCTCCTCACCGACAATGAGGCCAACCTCGCAACGGTGGTCTTCATAGCCACAGGACATCATGGTACCCACCGTGTCATTGACAATGGCAACCACATTCAGCTCCACTGCCTGCACATAAAAGGATGCCGCTGGTTGCTGGGCAACTCAGTTGTCATGGCAACCAGCATGGACCCAGAGGTCTCTACTGCGGAGGGCCCTCTTCTTAAGAATTGGGAGGTCCTTCACTTTCCCCAAGACCTGCCACAACCCCCTCCACCAGGGCCCCAGAGGCAAACTTTCACCTGTCTTCTCCCGATGGCTTCCCGCAGCAGAGTCACAACATCCTGGCCCTCACAGTCTGAGGCATTGAAACCCTTGGTCCACGTCAGGAGGATGCCCTAGGGTGGGACCGAGAAGAGCAAGAAGCTGGAGGCCCCTTGCAGCAGAGAGGCTCCCCAGAACCTGCCTTCTCCCCAGCCCCCAACACCATGCCTATGCTTTCTTCCCCTTCCTTTCCCAAAGATCCATTCCACTTTGCACATGGTTCCAGGCCTTGCCCTCTGCCCCTCCCCTTTCCTCGGGAGGCTTTTCGTGTGAAGAAACCTATTCATAAGCGCCAACCAAACGCTGTCTTCTGTCATTCCTTCCAGGATGCTCAGGTGGTCTGAGGGTCTCAAGGCATTCGTCCAAATGGACTGGCCCTCACTGGGTGAGGAGTGCACAGCGGGTGCTGTGTGTTTGGGAAAAGGGGACAGAGCAGGCTCAGAGGTCCCAGTGACAGCAGAAAGAACTAGGAAGGCAGGAATGGTGTTGCGGACAGAGCTGCATTCCCAGGAAACAGACACTGGGCAGAATGGGGGCGAGCCCAAAGAGCTCTGTGGGGGCACAGTGAACTTGGTGAGCTTAGTGACCAGGGGTGTGACTGCATCCAGGAATGCTCTTTCCCAGCTGCACCTCCGGGAGCGGGGAGTGGGGCTCTTAGTGAGAAAGGCTGCTCTGCCCAAGTAGGAGCCGGGATGCTGTCTGGATATCTCTGGGCAGGATGTTCCAGAGCCATTAACAACCACGCTTCGCAGTCATCTTTTCCCCGAGTCCCTCTTTCTATTCTAATGGCAGCGAAGGGGGCTCTGTGCTCTGTCTCAAAACCAGAAACCAGAGCAGAGGGTGGAGGAAGGGGAGGCATGAGTGGGGTCAGACCAGGAGATCAGAGCTTCCCACCCCCAACAAGGGAAAGAGGCTCCCCAACTGGGGAGGGGAAGCCCGCGTTAAGGTTTGTGGGGTCTGTGTAGGGCGGACACAGAAAGGAGTGGGTAGTGCCCGGGGCCATGTGAAGACCTGAGAGGAAGTGGCAGGACAGGTGTCCAGACAACTGGGGCCAGAGCCATCTTCTCAGTGACCCCTGCCAGGTTCCCTGTCCTGGGAAGAGGAAGTCCCTGAATGGGTCAACATTGTCATTACCCCCTGCAACACCTGGAAGTGAAGCTGAGCTCCAGGCGCACAAACAAGTCTGTCTTGGCAGACCCAGGCAGCTGCCCCCTGAGCTGCTCTTGGACAAAAAGCCAAAGCCAGCCACCACCTTTGGGTGACCCTGACTCACGGCAACCACACAAGGACTGACCCAAAAGAGGGAGCATGCTCCACCTGAGCCAAGCCAGCCCAGCAGAGAGGCCAGTGCCGAGTACAGGACCCAGAGGACCAGAAGGACCAAGGCAGCCTGCGTCAGAGAGGGTGGATACTGTCCCCTGGCCAGATGTTAATGCTGCCCAGGGACCACAGGGTGCAAAAGTGGGCATCCAGGCAGAAGTAAGAAGGGGAGTCCTGGAAGCCTGGCCTGCTGGCTCTGCAGGGCCGCCCCCTCAGATGTCCACCCGAGCTTATCACACTCGTCTCTGGACACAGCCAGACCTCCACCTCCTAAACTGCCACCCCAGTCCAGTACCCACTCCAGAGCCAGACCCCGAGAGGGCAGCAAGCAAGGGTGGAGGGGAGCGGGGACAGAGGCTGTGTTACTGCAGGCCCCTCAAGACACGGCCCAGGCTGGGGCCTCTGGTCTGCCATGGATCGCACCTACCTAAGAGCAGGTGGCCTTCCCTGAGCCCTGGCACTTCCCCACTGTTTTGGGGCAGCTCCAGCTTTCCACCCCGGCTTTTTCACTGCCCTGGGCACCGGGCCACTTCATCACACCCCCTCCCGCTGGGGAAACTGAGGCCAAATGCAAGGCCTCTCCCCCCTCCAACTCCGGCCCAGGATGCCGAGTGTTGCCCCTCTCCATCTCAGGAGCTCTTGCTCGCCTGCACCCAGCCTCCCTCACCTGGTCCAGGCCCAGCTGCCTGCACGGGAAGGAGAAGGTGAAGCCCAGGGGCAGGCTCTGCCCACTCAGGCCCTGCCTCTGCTGGAAGTCCACGATGCAGTCCACAATGTGGTCGAAGAGCTGCGGGGGAGTGGAGTCAGGTAGTGGGTGGGGGCCCCCCATCACTCCTCTCCCCCGCCCCCCGCCTCCAGCCCAGGCTGCGCATACCTGCCGTCCAGTGCCCTGGGCCACTTGCTCAGGGATGGCGTAGACCTGGCTGGTGATCTGCACACCTCCAGCGGCCACCCGCACCAAGAGGACCCGGAAGTGGGTGCCCCCGAGGTCCAGGGCTAAGAAGTCCCCACGCTCTGTGGGGCAGAGGCCCTCAGTGCCAGCAAGGGGAGAGTCCCGCTCTGGAGCCCTCAGGAGCCCAGGGCCTGCCACCACCCCCTCAGCCCACCCTCACCACTGCCGTCAGGTGTGGCGCGGACGTAGGTGGGCAGCATGCGCAGGGAGGAGGCCTCCCCACGGAGCCCCTGGGCCATGGCCTCCCGCATCTGGGCCTGCACTACCACCAGCTGCTCCTGGTCCAGCCGAAAGGGTGCCAGCGTCTCCTCCAGTAGGCACCGGTGGGCTGCCAGGCGGGCGGCCACTGCGGTCACCACGGCCACACCCCGGCCACCCCCATCCTCTGAGGGAATGAAAGTGACACTGCACTCTGGGGCCAGGAGCATCACTGTCTCCTGCAGGAGGCTGCGAAACCTGCAGGCAGGAGATGCACCGGGCTGGCTACCATCCCTGCAAACCGCAGGGCACTCAGTACACCCCACCCCACCCCATTGAAGTACTGGCCCAACCCCCCACCAGACCCCCTTTGCCTGGGTGTCCTGCCCCTGCAATCGTGGTACCCAGGGCTCCTCCCTGTGTGTACCACACTGTGCATGCCACCTGCTTGCACAGGATGGAGCGTGCCCAGTACCTGGGGAGTCGTGCCAACACCCGGCCTCCGGTGGCCACGGAGAGTTGGAGAGCCTGCTGCTCCCGGCTGTGCTGGAGGCGGCCCAAGACAGCGGCCAGGGCGGTGGCACATAGGCGGGCAGCTCGAGTGGACACGGCCATGCAGACACTCTGCACCAGCCCCACATCCGAGGCCCCTGGGCTCAGGCCCAGGCTCTGCAGGACAGTGAGGACTCTGGCAGTCCCGGCTGAAGGGCTGTGGAGGGACAGGGCACCGGTTTGGGTCTCAGGGGTCCAGCTACCCGACCAGCTCCCAAATCTCAATGGAAAACCCATGGCTCCCAGCTTGGCCAAGGCAGCCCCCCCCCTCTCACACTTACTCCTGCAGCTCAGCCACATGCTCCAGTCCCAGGGTGCCACGGCTCAGCAGGGCAGGGGGTGTGCAGCCCCCAAAGAGGAGGCCATGCTGGGCCAGGTGAGCCAGTACCAGCCGCACCAGCTCGCCCAGGTACAGGCCCCCAATCAGCTTCTCAAACCTGCAGGGTGGGGGGACAGAGCCTTCGATAACCTTCAGCTCAGCAGGCCCAGCCTCTGAGACACCCTGCCCCACCCCCCCAGAGGGTGTCCCAAGAAGCCCATGGGTGCTCATCAGCCCCTTCTGCCCTCTGGCCTAAGTGAGGGGTCATGGGATGCCAAGAAGGGCATGGGGACACGGCTCGGTTAGTCTCCAGCCCCAACCCCTGCCAGCACCCACCAGAACCAGAGAGAGGGAGGCCAAGGCTTAAGAACTTGAGTTATGGGAGCTGGAGCCCTGGAGCCCTCTCTTCCTTGGGCCAAGCCAGGTTCTCTCAGGAGGCAGAGAGTGCGGCTTGCAGGGCTGAGCTCAGAGGGACAGGTGGGGCCCAGGGCCGGGAAGCAGCCACCTCTGAGCACCAGGATTCAGGGACTCCAGGTCCAGGGCATGGTCGAAGGGGGTCAGCACCAGCCCCAGGGCTCTGTCGTCTCCGAAGGAACCCCACTCAACACTGACGCAGACGCGGCCCCGGTCCTCATCCAGCGCCGCCACGTGCCGCGCCTCCTCCATGTAGCAGGCGTTGGTGCCCGTGTCTGCCAGGGACGCCCTGTCAGCACCTGTTCACCAAGGAGCCTCCCCGCCCCGCCCAGCCCACCTTCACAAACGCCACCCTCACCTACGACGAGGCCGACCTCACAGGGCCCAAGTCCTGGGTCACAGCCCATCATGGTGCCCACCGTGTCGTTCACCACGGCAACCACGCTGAGGCTGGTGACCTGCACAATGGAGAGGGCAGAGGTCATGGAGCAGGGGAGTGGGGTGGGGGTGGGGGTGGGGAAAGCAGACGGGGCTGACCTGGGTGACAGCCACTGCTGCCGGGCCCAGGGGGCTCCTGTAGCTCCCAGCCCGCAGCTCCTGTTCCCCCTTCAGTAGAGACTATCTGTCTGCACAGGGCTCCCATCATCTAACAGTGGCATGCGTATATGGATCAGCTGTCCCTAGGAGCCTGGGGCCTCCTCCCAGACAGGGCCAGTCTTTGTACCTTTGCTCCCCTCCAGGGTCCTGGGTCTTTATGGGACCTTTCCCACCCTCCATGGGAAGTCCTCCAGCTGCACAAAGGGTTAACCCGCTTGGCTGCCAACTAAACAATAGGATCAGAGATTCGAATCCCCTCTAGGGGTGCCCTTGCCAGAAAGGCCTGGTGATCTATTTTCAAAACAGCAGCTATTGAAAACCCTGTGGCACTGGACCAGAGCTCTCGACACACGGGATCCAGGATGGAGGAATTTCCTCAGGACCAGTAATGGGAGTAATGATACCAGGAGGATAGGGGAAGGTGGGGGGAGTATGGGGGGATTGATTGCAATGATCGACATACACCGCCCCCCAGGGGAACAAACAACAGAAATGTGGGGGTGAAAGGAGACAGTGGAGGGTGTAAGATATGACAATAATAATAATTTATCAAGGGGTCATGAGGGTGAGAGGGTGGGGAATGGAGGAGAAAAAAAAGATGAGTTAATACCAAGGGCTCAAGTAGAAAGAAAATGTTTTGGAAATGATGGTAGCAACGTATGTACAAAAGTGCTTGATACAAAAAAATAAAAATAAAAAAGTGCTTGATACAATTGATAGACGGGTTGTTCTAAGAGCTGTAAGAGCCCCCAATAAAATGATTTATTAAAAGAAAAAAGAAATGTAAAAAAGAAAAAGAAAAGCCCATGGGGCACCGTCACCAGACACTCCTGGGGGCACTCTTGAGCCAGGGCCAGCTCGACAGCAACTGCTTCTCTGCCCGTTTCCTGTTCTATGAAATGGGGGGATGGCAACTTCCCCAGGCTGACACCGGACGAAGGACACGGGCTGAGACGGCAGGTGCTGTGTGGGCTGAAGGGCAGGTTGGAAATGGGCACTCCTGGAGGCACAGAGTGGCGCATATGGGCACTTCCAGGTGCCCAGGACCTAGCCCTGGGGGCAGCCCTCACCACGCAACTGCCCACCGACTCACCCCCTGCCTCTTGAGGGCCTCTCTCAGCAGCCGGACCACATCCTGGCCTTCCACGTCACTGCACTTAAAGCCTTTGGTCCAGGAAATGAGGGTGCTCTGAGGGCAGAGAAGCCAGGCCCCCTCCATAGGTCTTCCTGGATGGCATGCCCCTCCACCGGCTACCCTATGCCCTCCCCACCTCACCTGGTCCAGGCCCGTCTGGTGACAAGGGAAGGAGAAGTTGAACCCGAGCGGCAAAGTCCGGCTGTGCACCGGGAGTGCCTCCAGGAACTCGGCCAAGCAGCGGGCGGCGAAATCGAAGAGCTGTAGAAGGTGTGGGCACTGTCACTGTGTGCTGTCCATCCCTCCCAGGGTTCAGAGGTTGGGCCAGGGATGCTCACCTGCTGTCCGGGGCCTAGCATCACGTCCGGGGGGATCACAAACTCCCGGCTCCTGGGCTCCACCCTGCTGCCCTCAGTGCCCGTCAGAGTCACCCACAGAACACGTAAGGAGGCCCCTGTGGCCCCAAGCTCCAACACCACGAAGTCTCCCTGCTCTGGGGACAAGCAGGTCACGGAAATACATCATTAGCCACGGCCTCCCAGGAACACGCTCATGACTGCCAAGTCTGGTCAGGGGACCTGAGGAGTGGGGTGGGCCGAAGGGATCCCCTTCTCTGGGAAGCACCCCTCGCCCAGGCCTGGCCACCCACCGGTGCCATGCGGGGTGGAGCCCACGTATGCCGGCAGCATTCGGACAGCAGGGGCGGGGCCATTCTGCCCCAGTAGCGCCTGCTCCATGGAGCCCAGGAGGCTGGCCTGGATCTGCCGAAGCTGTGCCTCGGTCACCTCAAACTGCTTCAGGCATTCCTGCACCTGCGAAGAAGCAGGCTGGTGTCCAGGCCAGGCTCCCCAACTTCAGCCCCACGGAGGCTGGGCCAGCCTGGCTCCCCCTCCTCACCGCAGTCCAGGCAGCACCCTCCCTCAGCAGGCCACCACACACACACTCCCCTGAATTGCCAGCCTACCTCCTCCCATCCCCACCCCACGTGCTCTTGCGGCCCACAGCCTGTCCTAGTCCTGCGTCCCTCCACGGGGCTCTCAGGAGGGAGGGCCATCCTTCTCAGTCCTCCTCTCAGCCTCGGTGCCCAGAGGCAGCTGCTCCAGGAGCTGTCGCTGAATGAGTAGCCAGATGAACAAGCACACAGGGAAGAGTTTTCAATGGTCACTGATCCTTCTCCTGGGGCAAGCTGATCAGGCCCAGCTGAGTGAGCGTGGAGCCCAGTCCACAGAGGACAGCCCTGGGCCAGCCACTCAGCCTGTGACAAACCGCAACCAAGCCCCTGTGGGCTGCCCAGCACTGGTTCAGGCACCGACCACAGAGTGGTCGGCCATGGCCCACTCCTGCAGTCGGTGATCCAGTGTGGGGCACAGGAAACGGGACAACAGACAAACGTGGCTCTGGGATTTCTTCTTTTCATTAAAAGGACAGGATTAAAAGCTAAAGAGTGGGCAGGGGAGGAAGAGAGATTGTTAGGTAGCTGGTCAGAGGTCTGAGGAGGTCTCCCAGGGACAAGTCATTTGGAGCTCTAGGGGAGAGCACAGAGAGACGCTCTTCAGAGCAGGAGGTGGATTGGGGCCCAGACAGGGCCGGGAGGCTTGGAGTATGGAGGGGAGGCATGGCAGGCGGGCAGCTCAGGTCCTCGCTCTACCATAGCCTGTGGTTAGGTAACCCCAGGGACACTGGGGCGCAGGGGGGTGACACGTTGGGTTTCTAACCTCACCATCAGCAGTTCAGACCCACTAACCACTCTGCAGGAGGAAGATGAGGCTCTTGGCCCCCGTAAGTATTTCCAGCCTCAGAAACCCCTAGGGCCTGCTCGGCTCTGTCCTACAACGTCACTGTGAGTTGGAATCACCTGGATGGCAGTGAGTGTGGTTTGCTGTCTGGCATAGGTAGCTCTAGAACAGCTTCAGCGCTTCACCTCTGCATTCAGAACCTCCTGACAAGAGGTTCCAGCCTTCCAAGAGGTCCCAGCAGCCTTGACCACTTCAGGCGTCAACCATTTCATTCTGCTTGGGCCAGCTCTCCCTGTGCACTGAGGTAGCAGTCAAGACATGCCACGCCACAGCATGCTGCGTTGGGATAATCTGCTGCAAGTGACCTCTTTCAGAGCCTAACAAGCCAAGGTGACCCTTTGATGACTAAGGTGCATGTGGCTAACCTGAGCCATGGTCTTTTCAACCACCTGCTAGCTGCCGAGCACAGGCAGGGCAGTGAGACAGGAAGGCAGAGGAGGATGGATGGATCTACGGTGCCCGGCTTGAGAAGCATGTCGAAGATGCCAGGGCTGCGGGCACAAACAAGTCCGTCTTGGAAGACGTAGCACCAGAAGTTTCCTGTGGAGCACTGACAGCGAGACGTACTTTGGACACAACATCAGGGAAGACCCCAAAGTCCCTTGCATCAAAGGGACAGCATATGTGACCAAGTAGAAGGTCCTTGAAAATGAAGGAAACCCTCAAAGAGATGGGCTGACTGAGCAAGGGTCACAGCAAACAAGGGGCTCGTGCGGACGGTGTGTGGCGGGGCAACTCAGGGTCCATGTGCATCCTCTAACCACCATCCGGAACCGCCGACAAGCGACCACATGGCCCTGGAACTCGGGTCCTCTCTGGTTGGTAGACTTTCTAAGGCCCTCGCTTCTTCAAGTTCTATCTCCTGTGTCACACAGTTTCCTTGTCGATTCCATCCCAAGCACCCACTACCCCAGCAAACTGACTTGAGCACTGGACCATGAGGCTGATCCCTAGAGGGGCGGGTGTGGAGAGGAGGACGGCTCAGCCACACCCACCCGCCCTCTTTGTGTTGAGAAAGGAAAACTGATCCCTAAAGGAGGCAGATGACCTTAACTGTCGGGCCGAATGTGGACTTATGAGCCTGCATGACACTAGATGCTTCCAGTGGCCACACCAGCAAGGAAAGGTGACTGCTGTTTACTAAGTGAGGAAACTGAGGCTCAGAGCAGGGCCATCATCGCCCTAACCCAGGTAGCTATTAAGGTGCAGGCTGCACTCTGAACCCATATCGGGCTGCAAAGACTCACGACTCACTGCTATCGAATTGAGTCACAGTGACCCTATAGGGCGGGGCAGAACTGCCCGTGGGTCTCCAAGACAGGGGCTCCTGATGGGAGGAGAAAGCCCTGACTCTCCTGCTGAGCAGCTGTGGTTTCAACCTGCAGCCCTTGCGGTTAGCAGGAGCCCAACGCAGAATCTCTACAACCACCAGGGCTCCGACTGCAAAGGCCTGCCCCCCAAATGGAAGCATTCTAAGACAGCAATGCCATCTGGAAGGCCCCTAACATCCCCCGGGATGGGGGAGGGTACAGCCAGGAGCACTGCGTCTGAGGAGACCACTTCCAAGTCACACTGCACTGAGCCCTGCTGCCACCTCTTCTGCAGGATGAGACTTCAATGAGATGCAGAAGTGTCCCAGCGATGGGGGGACCAATCTGGTCCCCTGCTGTGGCTGCAGACAAGCATGTTGCATGAATAGTTGTGGACAGAGGGATGGAATGGGATCGCTCGGGGGACCGTGTGCAGGGCTGTGCAGTCAGGAGGGGTGTTTTCTGGTTGCGTAATGCAGGCAGGAGAGTTCGGCGAACGTGGATGGGTGGTCTGGGCGGATGGCTGTACTTCTGCCCTCCTGGGTGTGGGCAGAGACTCAGGCAGACTGGGGGCGGGATGGGGCAAGGACCAGCTGGAAGCAGCCCTGGAACATCCCCTTTGTCCCCTCCCCCTTCCTGAGAGTGGGGAGAGCCCTCAGGAAGAGGGGACAGGGCATCAGAGAGGACGCGGCTTGGCCATGTGGCTTCAGTACTGAGGGTTGCTCAGACCCCGGGACTGGACGGGCTGTGGCCTCCCCTCTCCGGGCAGCTTCCCTCCTCACCCAGTGGGCTTGATCGCGGGCCCACCTCTCAGGGTGGGCAGAGATGGGACAAGAGAAGTCCGATAGAGACAGGTTCCCCTTTCCGCACAGCATGGAACCCCTGGCTTAAGGTTCTTGGCTGCTCACTGAAAGGCTGGAGGCTTGAGTCCACTCAGAGGCACTCGGGAAGCAGGGTCTGACTGTCTACTTCCGACCACGCAGCCTGGGGAACCTGGTACAGCACAGGTCTCCTCTGACACCCCCCCCCAGCACCTAAAGTGCAGGCAGCCTGGAAAGCCAGACTCAGTGACCCTCAGGTGGGCCAAGACTCTGAGAGGCTGGCCCAGGTGCTGGACACACACTGTCAACGAGTCCTCTTCTCTGAGAGCTGGGTGAAGGGAGCCAGTCAGGGCCAAGGAGACTTTGATGCCCCTATGAAGCCCCACCCTTCCCACCTCCCCAAGGTCAAAGGGATGATCTCCCTACACTACAGGTAAATGTCCCAAAGCCAGCAGGGTGCATGTGGGACCAGCCCAGGGTCTGAGGAGACACCGGTAGGCCAGGGGCCTAGTCACAGCTACAGGCTGGCCCGGGGCAGGTGCTCAGGGTGGACTCAGCTCAGGCTGGAGGCGGGCGGACACCAAGCCTGGCCGAATGGAATACCCATTCGATGGGTACCAATCCATGCAGCCCCTGACTCTCCGTGAGCTCCCATCCTCCTCCCAGGTGGGCTGGGGAGTTAGACATGATTCTTCTCCATTTCACTGTTGGGAAACGGACTGAGAAACCCAAGTGGCTTACACAAGGGTTTCCTGCTTGGGGGGGGGGGCGTGGGTGGCGGGGCGGGGAGGGGCTTCAACATCGTGTTCAAGATGACAGGCAAAAGCAGAAAGTCATTTCCGAGCAAAGCTTGGGCAGGGGGTGGCTGCCCTGGACAAGAAGTACAGAGACTGCCCAGCCCAGCCTCATCTGTGGTGCCTCTGCGGAGGCCGTGGGGAGCCGTTGGAGGCGCAGGGAAGGTGGGACTCAGCCTGAGTCACACAGGAGCGGTGAGGGAGGTGGCTTTCCAGATTTTGTCAACCACTTTGGGGGGGTGAGTTGGTAAAAGCAACTCAATTGGAGCCCTGTGAGACCTTCATTTCACCTTCCACCTACCTCACCTGTCTAAGCCTCCTGGTCCCATCAGTCAGCTGAGGAGACAATAAGCACCTTGAACTGGCTGGATTCTCAAGGGAGCTAGATCATGACCAGCTATGAAGGATGGGGTGCAGGGGATGTGGGCATGAACCCAGGGTGAACGACACCCATCAATCCTGCAACTGACAGGAAAGTGCAGGAGGCAGGTGCCTGGTGCTGAACTTACCAGTTGGGTGCTGTCTGAGGGGTGGGGTGAGCACTCTGGGCGGGCACTCAGGGCCCCACCCCTGCACCCTGGTCCTACAGGTCCACTGGAGTCCATCTGGTTCCACAGTGAGGTTCGGCCACCTACGAGAGAGAAGGGACGGTGAGCCTCTTACAGGAGGCTGTGACCTGGGCTCACCACTTCTTTCCTCCTGCAGGCAACAGGAAGGAAACTGCAGCCAGAATCCAGAACGTTTAAGCGCCACAGATCCTTTGGTATCCCACCAGAAGGCCCTTGTTGACCCAGAAACATGTGCACTGGGAAGGCTAGTTTCCAACCCATGTGCCAGTCATCCCTGTGCACTTCCTATCTACCTGTCCATCCCCGTGCAGCATGGCCAGGGACCTCAGGCATCAGCCCTCGCAGCCCCACTGGTGCAGGCAGTGGGGGGGTGGACACCTGCCACAGCTGCCAGGCTGCCGCGTCTGAGAGGGGTCTGAGAGGCTGGAGAGTGTAAGAGCGTGAGGCCAGAAGGGGCTGCTGATCAGTGGAGACAACAGTGAGGCTGGACTGCCAGGGTCTTTATGGCAGGCTAAGGTGGCTCCAGGAATTCCTGAGTTAACAGACTCAGCTCCTAGCCGAAAAGTTAGAGTTCATGGTCACTTAAAGCAGTGGTTCTGTAGGACAGAATAGAGCGGCCCCTGTGGTTTGAGACTGTAACTCTCAGTCAGACAAAAGCTTCGTCTTTCTCTCCTGAGGAGTAGCTAGCGGTCTCGAACTGCTGACCTTGTAGTTAACAACCTAACTCATAAGCCTGATGCCACCAAGGCTCCTTCACTCCCACAAGGATGGCTAATAAGGAGCCCTGGTAGCTCTGTGGGTAAGTGGTCACCTGCAAACCACAAGGTAGGTGGTTCAAACCCAGTGTGCAAAAGTGAGGCTATTCCTGTGAGGAATGATAATCTCAGAAACCCTGAATAGGGTCACTGTGACTTGATGGCAGTGGGTTTGATTTGGGTTTAGAATGACTAAGATATTTTAAAGAGAGAGAGAGAGAGTAACAAATGACAGAGGAGACGTAGAGAAAACGGGCACTCACAGATGACTGGTGGAAGATAGTCTAGCAGTTTCTAAATAAGCTAGAGGCAGGGCTGCCATTTGACCCAGCAATTCCATGCCTAGGTATAGATCATACGGATCTACTAGCAATGACATGAACAGACGTGCACACCCACATTCACTGCAGCACTGCTCACGGTAGCGGAAGGACGAAAACTCCAGCAATGACCAAACGGGTAAGGAAAATGTAGTATATGTCTCCATACAATGGGTACTACCCAGTGATAAAGAAAAATGAATTCCTAAAGCACCTTACCATGTGGATTAACTGGAGAACATTGTATTGAGTGAAATAAGTCAATGATGGAAAACAAATGGTGCATGTTCTCACATTTATGAAATGACATGAATGGTAAATTTGCAGGGGGAAAAAGCACTCTCTAGGTAATGTCACTTTCTGTATCGAGAAATGGGAAATCTGGCCCCAAATGTGGGCAACGTGAAGACAGCATGACTGATGTTAACTGATGCCAATAGCTGTACCCAGGGAAAGGGGGTGACTGGGCGAATGCTAGTTGGTGTATGGTTTTGCAACAACAAAAAGGTAGAGACAACAGAGGCAGATACTCATTAGACATAACCACTCAGCTCATGGGGCTGATTCTCTTGGTTTGGGGCTTAGTTGTCTAGTGCCATTATAATAGCAGAAATGCTACAAATGGGCGGCTTTAATAGCTGCGATTCATTCTCTCACATTTTAGAAGGCCAGATGTTTCAATTCAGAACACTGGCTCTAAGAAAAGGCTCTCTCTGTTGGCTCTAGAGGAAGGCCTTTGACTATTTTCAATATCTATGGGTACAACATTCCTTATAGATCTACATGTATCTTGGCATCTGTCTTTTTCTAGGTATAGGAGGTTTCAAGCACGGGGACCCTGGGTCCACAAAGGATATACTCCATGCCCAGCTCTTCTTTCTCGGTGTTGTCAGGTGCCTCCCTCTGCTCACTTGTCTCTCATCTCTTGTCAGGTGCTGCTGGGCACACCTCAACTCCCTTTAGCGTGGGTCAGGACTGTGACCTCAGTAGGGGCGTTGCATTCCACTCTAATCCCTTTATAACTGATTGGCTAATCAGATCAGATCACGTTATGAGGTGGTTCCATCATTGCATAATTATAAATCACCGAGACTATAGCCCAGGAAAGTTGGCATATTTTGAGAGGGCATGATTCAATTCATGGGTTCATGCAACAGGCTAGTCAATTGGCTAAGTTTTTAAAGTTTATGTGCTAGTTCCCAGTATGGTGAGTAGTGTCTAGGGTCTTAAACATTTACAAGCAGTCATCTAAGGTACAACTAGTGGTCTACTCATCTGGAAGAAATGAAAAAGAGGAAACCCAAGAATCAGAGACAGAGCTGGAGTACAGGCCTACTTGCTTACGTGACCCGTTGCCTCCTCCCCTTGGAGAGCAGAACTAGATGGTGCCCCGCTACCACTACTGGACATGCTCTGATTGTGAATGCACCTGACAAATCCTGATTTTTAAAAACGGAGAAAAAAATGTGAACCAGAGCTTCAAATTCTTTTTAAAATCCTGATCTGCTGAACCTATTGAGACTATGGCTCTGATTTACTTCTCTAATTTTGAAGTCACCTTTGAATGAACAGTTTTGCCCTAAGAATGAATAAATTGTCATATTTGAGGATTACATTTCTTAAAATAAATCTATCATCTATCTAATCCAGTGGTTCTCAACCTTCCTAATGCCACGACCCTTTAATACAGTTCATGTTGTAGTGAACCCCCCCAACCATAAAATTATTTCATTGCTACTTCATAACTGTAATTTTGCTACTGTTATGAATCAGGTGAACCCTGTGAAAGGGTCTTTCAACCCCCAAAGGGGTCGTGACCCACAGGTGGAGATCCACTGATCTGCCTAAAGCCCAAGAGTAAACAGCTATTTTAAAACATAGATGAGAATCTGAGGGGAACAGTGTGGCATAATGGGTTATCAATTTTTTAATCATTTTATTGGGGGCTCATACAACTCTTATCACAATCCATACATACATCAATTGTATAAACCACATTTGTACGTTCATTACCCTCATCATTCTCAAAACATTTGCTCTATGGGTTATAAATTGAGCTGCTGTTAACCACAAGATCAGCCATTTGAAGCACCAGCCACTCCAAGGGAGAAAGCTGAGGCTTTCTACTCCAGTAAAGAACTGGTCTCAGCAACTCACAAGAGCAGTTCTGCTCTCTCCTCTAGGGTTGCTATGAGTCTAAACTTGATGGCAGTGAGTTTGGAGTTGAGGGGAGATTAACTAAAAATAAGTGAAAATCGGGGAGAGGGGAAAAATGAGGACCTAATGTCGGGGGTTTAAATGGAGAGAAAATGTTTTGAGAAACGATGTACAAATGTGCTTTACACAATTGATGGGTGTATGGATTGGGATAACAGTTGTATGAGCCCCTAATAAAATGTTAAAAAAAAAATAAGTGAAAATAACTAGAATGGAATAATGAGAATGCTGACAATGCAGAGTGTAACCAATGTCACTGATCCTGACATCCGGAAGCTGTAGGCTGGGAGTGCGTTCCACTGTGAATATGTTCACACGTGAAAACCCTCCGTGGGGCACAGTTCTTCTCTGGCACACGAGGGTCACGAGTCAGCACTCACTGGGCAGCAACTGTTTGGAGGGGCGTGCATGTAATCCTTAAGGCAGGGCGAGAGGCGGCAGGGTGCAGTATGGTGGATCTGTTTCAACAAGCAGTTGCACTAATGGTGTGACTTTGTGTAAGTAGCTAGAAGCTCCTTAAATTTCAGTGTTAACAGAAAGTACGAGGAAACAACCACCCACCCCCCTCACAAGGCTGTCATGAGAATGAATTGGGGTCACACCCGGGGACCTGCTTGATGAGATCCAGTGTGCAGTGCAAATGCTAGCTCCTGCTGCTTTTGACGCAGCCATGGTAAGGCCACTCAGAGTCCAAGACGCTGCTCCCCACAAAGCGCTGCCCCCCCCCCCCAGCTCTTTCAGCCACTTGCCCGAGGGTCTTCACCTGCGAAGTGGGAATCAGGGCTGGGTGGGACATGGTGGATATCAGAGTGTGTCTTCAGAGCTATTTCTCTGAGTCTGAATGGAAATTCTGTGGGCTTCAATGTCCTCCTCAAGAACACAGATTTAACAAATTCTTGTGAGGCTTCAAGGCGGGCATGGTCCTGAAAGGTCTTTGCAGAAGGACTGTGTAAGGTAACGTGGTTTGCTCCCCTCGCAAGAGGCAGCACTGAGGTTCCTTGAGGCTGACTGGGGGCCCTTCCGGGGTGGAGGAAAGGAATATGTTCTCCTGAATCCTTCCATCTCTCTCTCTTGACAGCAAAAGTTCTGGGAAATAGCGCTGTGACCCTCCCACCCTCTGCCTTCATGTGGTCACCTACATCTCCTAACTGCCCACTGCCAAGCCTTCCCCCAGAGTCCTCACTGCCCTCCCCCAGCACAGCCAGAGGCATTTGCCCTGGACCACAGCGGCCACAGGTTCTCCCAGGGGTCCTTCCTCAGTCTCAGTGGCCGTCAGTAACCTCGCCTTTCCTGAAAGGATGGGGTTTGTGGTTTGTTGAGGGTCCACTTCTCCACTCTTATCTTACCCACCCCCAAGACAAAAGTCCCTCTATCCTGTCAAGTCCTAGATCCCACACTCAGACATCACTATCCGAGCACTGGCTGAGCAGAGCAAACCCAGTAATCACAAGTATGCTCATGTTCTCCCTTGTCCCCACACCCCCTTTCCTCATCACATTGCCCAGACACCTCGAGAGAGGCACAGAGCCACCAGGTTAGCTAGACGCATCCGAGGGCCACACTTAACACGGCCTCAGTGCTCAGGCTCCGTGGAAGGACACTCCTGCATGGGCCTGCTACACCGGCCACTGCCTTCAACCTTCCATCTGATCATTCCCGGAGGCTCCTGAGCAACACCTCTGCTTCCAGTCTGACCTCCTCCTCACCCCACCTGCCTCTCCCAATGTCAACCGTGCCTGTGCTAAAACCAGGTCATGCCCCACCTTTATCTCCCCTAAAAGAGGAAGCAAGCAAACTTTCATATTGTGATCACTCCCCGTTGTTGAAGAGTCCAGAACTTTACCATGGCATCTCCGGGCTCTCCCCTCTCTCTTCCTCTGAGCTCTCTCCTGTGCCTCCTCTCCCATGGCCCTCCGTGCACAGTGACCACAAGCCGCCCACCCTCCCCTGCCTCTCAGCCACTATCAAACTGCCTTCTTAGCCTGGAAGGCTATCTCTAGTGTCCTGCAACATCTGGGCCAATACAGCTAAGTGCTGAATGCAGTGTTTTCCCCGAAGGCGTCTTGGTGGCCCAGTGCCCAAACTTAGCTGTCACCCCCAGGGTGGTGGTTTGAGACCACCAGCGGCACCAAGGGGGAACAGACCTAGCCACCTGCTCCTGTAAAGGTTCCTGCCCAGGAAACTCTGGGCAGTTCTGCTTTGTCACACTGGGTCACTATGAGCTGGAATTGACGCAACAGCACACAGCTGAGAACAGGAGTCCTTGGGTGGCATAGTTAAGAGTTCAGTTACTAGCCTAAAGGCTGCCAATTCACACCCACCCAGAGGCTCCTTGGCCAACAGCCCCGGTGGTACATTTCTGCAGCCTTAAGTCGGCAGTGATGAAAACCCTCCGAAGCAGTTCTACTCTGCTTTTGTGTGATTGCCACAGGTCCGAGCCAGTTTAACAGCAACAGTGCAAGTATATAAAACCCTAAGAAACAAGTTCTCTTCTCGTTTAGGGAACCAAGAAAAATCCATTTCTAACAATTCCCTCAAACTCACATACACCCAATCTACCAAATGGGACTAGTACTGCAGACCTTACAGGTTGGTTTCAAGGATAAAACAAAGCAAATGAGGCAACTCTCTTTGGAAAAGGGAGACCTGCTGGCATAGTGGCTATACACTGGGCTGTTAACTGCAAGGTCAGCAGTTCAAAACCACCAATCATTCTACTCCCTTGAGTTAGTCTCAGAAACCCACAGGGGCAGTTCTACTCCTTCCTTCAGGGTCTGAGTCGATATCTACTTGATGGCAGTGAGGTTGTTTTTTCCATCTTTGGGAAAGTCCAAGGGGCTAAACAGGAGCTTTCACCCTCCTGAGGCCCAGCTAGCTCATTAATTCTCTTACTCATTCCTACATCCATTCAATGTTCATTCAGTACCTCCATATTCCACACACTGTGGACTTCACCTCAAATAACCTTTGGTCAGTGTTGACGTGCTAGGTAGATGGACTCATGTTGGTCTCCTCCAGCCCTGTGTACAGGGACCAAGGCTTAGCCAAGGTCTGCCTAGGGCTGAGGGGCTGGAGGCCCCCAGCTCCTCTCTCTCCACTGCCTCAGCTCCGCTTTCATTCTGAATGGCATCGTGGACTCCTGCTGAGGAGGGGCACCACCACCCAGACCTTTCTAGCCTCCACTTCTCTAGCACAGGCCACGCAGGAGGGGCAAGTTGGCGGGGTTGGGGTGAGACCTTACCCTGGTCTTGGTGAGTCCTCAGGCTTGAGCTCCTCTCTCAGTCACTAACCCCAAGACCCTGGTTTGTACCCAAAAGTGAAACCCAGGCCCCACCCTCTTCCTCACCACCACTGGCCAGCGAATTCAGGAAGGCACACTTCCTTCCAAGTCAGCCCTAGGGTGAGTACTGCTGTGGTTCAGAATTGAGCAAGATGCTCATGAGAAGTAGGAACCCTGAGCCAAGTCAAGGTCCCAGAAGGTCCTCAGCAGTTCTGGGAGCATTTCTTCTGCCGTCACTGTGTGGGAGCCGAGGTCTTGAAAATATACCCCTGCAAAGGAGCAGGAGGGGTCTTGTCAGAAATGGGTATTTCCAGTGAGGCAGTGCTGGGAAGCAAGAGGCAGAGCCATGCATGGGCAGCGCTAGCCTGGGAGGAAGAGACAGCTGTTGGCCACCTGGTGCTGGACCAAAAGAACAGCATCACGAACGGTCACAGGGTCATGAAAGTGTGCGCCTTCAGACCCGGGTGCAGCACAGAAGGCCTAAAAGGACGTGCAGGTGACGCCTGAGTGGTGGAGGTGCAGCCAACTTGTGGGGCCCAGCGCTTCCTCCGCAGGCAAGGGGCCATGGGCACCTTCTCTGTTGGAAGGGTAAGGCAGGCTCAGGCTCGGGCTCAGCCTCAGCAGAACTGTCAGCCACCAGCTCTTTCTCCTGAGTGTCACAGCCCCTTGGGACATCACTGAGACCATGGCAGGGAACGTGGCAATATTCTTCATTTCAGGGAAAGCTGGTAGGCATTTTTCAACCATGGGCTAACTCATCATGGGGACCCCATGATTACCCAGGCAGCAAATGATCTCCCTGGGACACCTGGCTGGAGGACCCCTAGGGAGGTGGCACTGTATCATTTTGGCAAGCAGCAGACTAGACTTAGCCCTGTTGCAAAGCTGACTGGGTACTGGCCAGGCATACTGGCTCTGAAAAGCAGTCAAGGCCGGGAGAGCACGGACAGAGCAGTCCGTTGCCCATGTAGCCTGGTCATCTGGTTAAGAGAAAATATGGAGCTAAATGTGGAAGGTCCAGCATTATTGATGCTGACAGCCATAAGCTGCAGTTTTCCAAGCTGGGGTGAGGGGATGCCCCTGACAAGCATCATCAGGGCTCTGCTAGGCCATTCTGGAAGTTCTATGTCCATTTTCCCAGGAATAGAATGTCCATGACGGGCACATGGAGGGACGGTGGCCTGAGCTCTAGCTCTGTGAACAGCTATGGCAGCCCTGGCCGGGGCAGAGGCATAGCAGATGCCAGCAGTTCCTGCCTGAGACCAGATGGCCACTGACCAACAAGGGAAGGGTGAGGTTGACCAAATCTTATCATGGCCACTCAGGGTCCATCTCCAGCTGTCCAGAAGGAACTGAAGAATGAATGAGGAGATGCTGCACCTGGAGTGAGGGTGGGCAGCTGCTAGAACCCACAACCCACCCCACCTGTGGAACAGCGCCCAGGCCCACCACTGTGAGTAGTTCACCCTTCAGACTCAGGATGTCACAGGTCACAAGGCTGCTGTGCCTTCAACAGCCTCCTCATCTTTTTCATCATTTCAGTTACAGCTCAACCATGAGCCGGGGAGCCTTTCCTGACAAGCCCTCCTGCCAACCCCCACTGAGTGCCGCCCTGCCTTACTGACTCCCTAATTATCTAGATTTCGTGTATCACTGTATTTACAGCAGCTTATTGAAATCATCCATGTATCTGTCTTCCCCCTAAATAGTGGGCTCATCTTTGACACCCTAAGGTCCAGTTATTGACCTGACGTAACTAGGTATGGTTAATTTGTTAAATGGAGCAGCTCTCCCCTAGTATCCCAATCCCAGGGAGCTGTTATGAAACAGAGGACCATCAGCCTTCCCTTAGTTTGTATGTCCCTCCATCTTCCCCGGGACACGCTCATCCACCACCTGCCTCTTGTACCCTCATCCCACCTCAAAGGAGCCCTCGTAACAAGGTGAACTGAGCATTGGGCTGCTAACCACAAGGTCAGCAGTTCAGACCCACCAGTTGCTCCATAGGAAAAAGATGAGACTGGCTAGTCCTCTAACAATTGGTAGTCTCAGAAACCCTGAGGAGAAGTTCTACCCTGTCCTGTAGTCTCCACCAGTCAGAATCGACATGATGGCAGTGGGTTTTCTGGTTTTAATTTCTCTCCCCACAATTACCATCTGTTCCCCTGAAATCAAATTAGGGCCAAAACGGCAGTGAAGTACACCAAACACAGGTTTCCCAGGTTGTTCTGGGGTTTCAATAAAAGAACATACACTGCATATAACACGACACTTGCAAACAAAAAAACTAACAGCTACTACTTATGTGGCATGGGCCACCATGTTGGTCTCTCACCTGACACCAGCAGCCTACAGAAGGAACAAACTGCCCATCATCTCCCCTCTTCTAACTCAAAGAGCCTGCGGGCCAAGGGTTCTAAGCAGGAAACACTGGCTTCAAGGTTTCTGGTGTGTCTGCCATCCCAGCTCATTTTCATTTTAAAATAAAGGAAAAGGGAAGTTTGGACTAAGTCAGAAACCATGCGAGTCTGAGTAGTGTCCTTGTCTAGACTGTCCAAAGAGGCCTCGTGCTCGGCAGCCACCTTCCCGAGTCTCAAGCCCGCCTTTAAATTTGTAACAACTCCGAAGCAAGCTCAAGAGACACACTTCTTTGGCTGTGTGCCACATTAGCAGCTTCTCCCACCCAGTGTCTTCTCTCTTTGGAGTCCGCCCAAGCACTGCGGACAGACCACGTCTCTGTTCTGCACTGGAAGTCAAGAATATGCACTGCTATAGTAATGCTACTGAAATAGAATCTACTTCCTGTGGTTGCTATGACCTCTGGCAGTGAGCAAACCAATCTCGGTTTTAAAAAACGAGTAAGTCTGGCATCCCCACTTGGCTTCATCTGGGAAGAAAAAAATAATTGCATAGGAACTAATAACAATGTTCACTTACAAATTCCTGGGAAGAACAGCAGGGCAAAGGTCCTATTCTCTGGCCAAGAATTCTTAACTGGGCAAAAATAGCAAGAAGTTGTTACGGATGTGTGAATTGTAGGGACAACAGAATAAATAGAAGGAGTCAACACCGCTGGCACCTTCCAGAATGATGCCAGAAAAGGTTGAGAGTGTATCCATGTAGTGTTCAGAACAATGCATTATTACACATTCCATGAGGAGAGGGCTATGTCAAAGATCAGTAATGGAATTCATTCAGAAACATGTCATTTATGAGTCTGAGAACCACCTCCAAAATTAAAAGATCCCCAACTCCTGAACCCCAGCAACCCAGAGAGAAAAATGAGAGATGAATCTCCAACTTACTGAAATACGATTTCATATAAACATAAATATATTTAAATGTTAACTGTAAGTGAATTCAAACAGACTGTTATAAAACAACACTATACACAGCTGTCTGTATAGATCTTAGAAAGCATAAAAACCAGGGTGCCGAGGGGCTGGTGGTGAAAACTGCAGGGCCCAAACTTGCTCAACAATGAACTGAAGGCCACTGTAACTTAACGAACATGGCCAACCCCTTTTGCAAATGGTTTTGTCAAATGACCCCAGACAGTTAGGATTTTCTTCTTCTTCCTCTGCCTGATTTGGTCCGTGCCCGGCTACCTGGCCGGACAGTAAATTGCTTTTTGAAGTCTACTAAGCAATCAGTGGCTTCTGAAATGGAAACAAAAGACTTGATAGGAGAGTCATTTATGTCGAGATGTGCAAGAGAACTCTGCCTCTCTCTGCTGCAGCCTGCCTCTTCCATCCCCGGTGAGGGCTCCCTGCAGGAGAAAGGAAAATTCTGATTTAATACACACCTATTAATAAGCAACAAGCATACACTGGACCAGGGGCTTTCACATAGATTAGTTCCTGTCATCTCTGTAACAATCCAACCAGATAAGTACTATCACGTCTCTGTCACAGATGAGGATATTGGGGACAAAGGTTAAATCACATACCTAAACCCAGGCAGTCAGGCAGCGAAAGAATGAAATTTAAAACCCAAATTCCCAAACTGCCTGAAATCCAGATCAGACCAGAGTTGAGTAGGGACAGGGAGGAAGAAAGGGCAGTAGGACACGGTTTTTGCTCTGCTTATTTGAATACCATAAGTGAATTGAACTAACTGTTAGCCCAATTAATAAGGAGGTCAGAGAGCTATCCGGACAGAGTTCACATAGCTCCACAGTTATTCCTATGGGTTAAATATCACAATACGCTCAAAACACAGGACCAGGCCTGCACACTGCAGAACTGCTGACAGCAGCCCTTCAACAAACATCCCAATTCACCTGAAGCCTCTTGTTTTTGAAGACGTGGTCTTTACCTCAGCATCTGTGTTAGGAGGGGAAAAAGTAACAATATTGATAGCTGTGACCACTTCCCACTAATCATGCACTTCCTACCTATGGTCTGGGCACTGATTTTCACCAGATCCCCAATTTCCAGACCAATAGAATGTGAACATTCACATCCAGCTGGCTCAGCTATCATACAATGTACTGAGGTGAACACTGAATGAACAACCACTGGATAAATCTTCAAATCTGGACTTAGGGAGCAAGCAGTTCCCAGGGAAACCTGCCACCTGCAGAGATTCACAACCTGCTTATCCCAAGGCAGCAGGATGGGAGGCTCGAGAAGCTGTCTGTTTATAGTCATCAGAAGGCACTATAGATCTGCTTGGTGGGAATGAACTGTTACAGCTAGATGGCAAGCAAATCTCACCAGGCTTAAGAGAAAGCTCCTTTTACATCCGCATCAGGTGAATTTTAACAATAGCAACTAATGACAATAGTAATCATCAGCAACTACAATGATCAGAGTCTGCTTAGGGCGGGCACTAGTTTGGAGCTTTACTTGCCATCTGAGGTACTGAAGGGGTTCCATAACCTTGGAGAGGTTAAGTCAATTGTGCAAGGCCAAAGAACAAGTTAAGTGGCAGAGCCAAAATTCAAACACAGGTCTGACAATGTTATTAACCTATCCACTTTAATACCTTCAAAACACTGGGCACAGAGAGCCAGGGTTACTGCCTAAGACCCTCAGCAACAGAGGCTGGGCCCTAAGTTGCAGGTGGCAGGTGACGCTGTCTGCTCTTCTGTACTCCTATTCCTTTAGAAGGTGTACTTAGGCTTGTGTTGTCCACTATGGTCTGGACGTGGTCTCCCTCAGTTCACTAGGGCGGTCATAATCTCAGGCTTTATAAAATAAGCCTGGAACAAAACAGCTGATGAATAAGATCGCGTGCTCCACTCCCATCACCTTCCTTAGGGAGAGGGGACAGGGATCAGGCCTTAAAGGCTGACTGGCTAGGTCAAATGTGCATTCTCGCAACTCTGGCAGCCAGCCAGAGAGCTAGCAATGGCTACCTTCACGTGACAGTTGCGGCAGAAGCCCAGCACACACGTCCTGGGGCCCTCACCTGCAGACGGGTGCTCACACTGCTCCAAGAGACTGAGGAGTCGCCCTTCATTCTGTCCTTTTTCCTGTGACAAAGTAAAATAGAAAGGTTTCCACATGGAAGGAGTCTAAACTACAAATTCTCTGGCCCAGATCACACCTTATCTCCAGAAGAGAGGAGGTGTTGGGACACCACTCTAGTACATGAGATTGGATGCCAGGGTCAGGCCTGCTACTTCACTAAGGTCCTATCAGAGAACAGCAGCCACTTTTGACCTGTGATAGATTTTGGAGACTGACACTCAAAACCACGAGCTTCCAGGTACTTACTTCCACAGGCAGTCCTGCCAGAGGCACATACTGTACCTAAAAGCCCCAACTCCAAACTACCATTCCAAATCACCTCATTTCAAAGAGGCCTCTCTCTCTTCTGCCATCTTAATGGGCTCCGCTACGTTAGAAAGCCCAGAATACGGAGCTTCTGCTCCCCACCTTTGCTCTCTAAGCCAAGCTGGGCTCCTTTGGTTTTGGGTTCAAGGTGGAGCAACTCTTCACTAGGCCCAGGCAGCAGGTCCACTGACTATTAGTGCATGCAGAATTCAACCAAGTTCCTGGTAGTGTGGGCATGGTTTGGATGTCTTTTCTAAAAAGTAACTTGAGTAGTACCTTTCGGGTCCTTAAAATGTTTATGCCCATTGCCCCTAATAATTCCATTTCAGGAAATCCATCCTGGAGAAATAATCAGTAATAAAAAGACTGATTTAGGCTTAAGACACATTATTGTAACGCAGAAGAACTGAAAAGAACCTAAATGTACAATAATATGAGAATGATTAAGTACTTATCTGTGTAAAACAAACAATAACAGGGATGTGTTTTTAAATGGTTTAAATTCGGGAAGGTGTTTATGCGAAAATGTTAGGTTGGTTTTTGCTTTGAATTCAGGGTGAAAACTGTTGGATCGTGTAGACAGGAAAAGACTGGAAGGAAGTAGGCAAACCTCATCAAAGCTGCTATCTCTGAGTAGTTAAATTGTGGGTGATGATTTTGCCTGGTTATACTTTCCTTGAGATTTCCAATTTTTCTATAGTGAAATGTATTACTTTTCAAGGTAAAAGAAAACAAGTTTTCAAAGTACAAATCAAACTTCAAGATGAAGGAAGGAAGGAAGAAGGGAGGGAGGGAGGAAGGGAGGGAAGAAGACAGGCAAGAGAGGAGAGGCAAAGGCCAACCAGAACAGTGGCCTGTTCACACTGGGCAGGAGGGCTAGGCCGCCTTCCCTGACAATTCGTCTCCAGTACTTACCTTTGTGCTCCTCAGCCGCGGCTGCCAATTCCCCTGCACAGGTGGGTATGCACTCCCACTCCCTGAAGGCCCATTGCCTTGGCCAGCTCTGGCAAGCTGGAGGCAGGCGTCCACGTGACTCTGGTACTCTCTGAATGGGACCAGGGATTTACAAAGATAACACTTCTCACTCCTAGGTAATCAGAAGGAAAAAAGAAAAAGCCATTTTAAGATTGGAGTTGCCTCTGGGCTCCTGGATATGTCTTCAAATTGTGTTTTCAAGTCTCAAAGTTATTCTGGGATGGAGACACGTCAACGGATGCAGATTCGCTCAGCAGGATGGCCAATCAAAAGGACTGAGTGATTAGCGGTTTCCACGGCTGTTTCTGTGTACCCCTGCTGTTGCAGCAGTAGGATGGTAATGAAATCAGCTCTTCTAACTATCGCAAACAATACTGATTGCTCTTCAGACATAAAATATTCTGTCAAACTCTTCAGAAATTAAGTGTAATAGTTTTTTCAAAGC